GAAATTACATCGAAACGCGTCGTGCTTGTGCAGCGTTTTCGGGTGGGCAACACCCAATTTCCATCTGCTTTGAGTACGGTCCCAGTGATCGCAGTGACTAAAGTTCACTTCAATGTGAATCACAGTCCATTACATTGAGATTGCGCGTCGTAATCCAATCACACAACGTGTACTCCAAACTTGACCTTCCAATTATCTTAAATCTAATTCGCGGACAGACTGGCTGATGGGAATGAATACGTCGTAAAGCCTGAGGAATACTGTTTCTACCTAGCATCCATACGTCAGAATAATATTCCTCGATGTTGCAAACGTCATCTGCTACACGTCACCCCATCTCTCAATGGCTTTCAAGTCGCTTTGGATATTGTTAAGTTCAGCGGTATGATGAAAACTTGAGAACGTGTGAACAACCTTTAGATCATCAGCAAACAAGTAATACTTGCCAAATTGTATAAGAGGAAAAAGGTCACTCATATGCAGTAGGAAGATTAACGGACTTAAAACACTACCCTTTACCACTCCACTGGTGACGATACGGGTGTGACGAGATGTTCCCGTTTATATTCACAAGTTGCAATCGCCCTAAAAGGTACGACTGGAGCGGATTTGTTACACAGTACCTAATTAATTTATACAACAGCCTCCCGTGTGGAACCCTGTCAAACGCTTTTTGCATGTCAAGGAAGATGACAATACACTGAGAACCTGAGTCAATTGGTTCAGTTAGATGGTTAAGGAAGTCAACTTGTCAGGTAACACAGGAGCGAGACTTCAGAAACCTATGTTGTGAAGGTGATATGATAACAGGAAGGAAACCAAATGTTACTTACTAATTCTCTCTAATATGCGTGAGAGAATGACAGTGTGGACGTCAGTTTTCGACCCGAACTTGTTTCTCGGTATAAACTTAGACACCTTTCAATGTTCGCGATATTGACCGAAATGGATCGACAAAGAAATTCAGTAATAAGAGGGAGATATTATCACCACCGTACTGACTGAAGCAAAATAGATCCCGTTGGCGCCGAATTTGTAGTATGGCCGTATATAGGCTACCATGCGTTTTATCGTGGCGACACGCAGGTTGATCGCAGAGACGTGTTCAGAGAAGTTTATCGAGGTTGATAATTTCAGCGGTATCTTCTCAAGGTTAAAGGATCCAGCAAATGATGAGCTAAAGGCTTCTACTATGGCAGTTGACGAATCAATACATCCGCATTCATGTGTGACACGGGCAGGTAGGCTTGTTTTGCCATCTTTCCTGCTCCGCAATAATGCAGTCAACTGTTGACTACTATAGACAGTTCTTGTTCTTCCTGCATGAGACGGATGTGGATTTTCCTGTCCGCCTGAGCTACTCAGTCTCAGTAACACACTGGAGCCATGAGTTCGTTCACATGTTCAAGTTAGCACTAGTATTTTCCGCTTATCCTTTGAGTTGTTAACGTATTTAGAAGAGGCACTCGCATTATCACTGGAGGCAAGCATGCTTAAACACAAAGTCACGTCACAGAACGCTCCCTGAATATCAGACAAAAGAACAAAATGGTCCTAATTTTGGACCCTAAGTTATCCAACTGACATTTCACAGGAAGCGTGGGACCATCACTGACCTCACATGCAAAAGCTCAGCTATAAGTTAATATCTAACTATTTCGTGATCACATCCATGGAGACCATCTATAACATTAATGTGCGCGCTTTGATGAATTTTGACCAAGCGTCTTTAATTTTATAGTAGCCAAAAGTCATGCTATTTCCCCCAGCACCTCGGTAAAAATAGCTGAAGGTCGTTGTAATAAGTCTTCAAGTTCCGAGACTTCAGTGATAGTTTTTACCACGTCCAGTGCATCCAGGAATGCATGAATCCAGTCTCCTCCGAGCAGATTTGGGCGACCCGCAAAGATCACATATACAGGGAACTTGTGTATCCTGTAGCCAAATTGTGTCTTTACGAAGCATTTACCAAGAGCACGTATGGCTTTATCAGTGTAGATAGGAAGAACGGAAATGTAAGTGGATAAGGGCGGTAGTATTTTTACAGGGTTTTCCAAGAGGCCCCTCTACCCATCTCTATCTGTAATTACTGTCTTTCAATGTAAAGCTACAGGGTGTGTAACGCTGGTCGCATATTAGGAACGGTATTCAACCATAATGAATGCATTACAGGTTCGTCACCATCCGACTCGGTTACACTTTTGGTCCCCGGTAAGCCCAACCTAGACACCTTTCGCCCGATTTGCACACTCTTGCCAAGTGGCCAACCTTCACGCAGTTTCGACATACGGTCCTTTGATGTCAACAATCAGATGGACAACTGTGTTGTTCACCGCAACGGTAGCATTCGAATAAATTGAAGCTAGCAGGTGCCCACTTTATGTTTGAAGTACTGTTCACTAATCGCAATTCTTCTGATGAACCTTTCAGAGTGAATGTTGTTAGTTGGTTAATAAGTTTCCTCCTCTGTCTGACAATAGAATACACCATCTCCCAAGTTAGCGAACAATCGTCTTGTGAAAGGAACTTCTCCCGGGTGTCCTGGTCTGAGATCCCAGAGATCAGGCGTTAGAGTAGTATGGTTTCTACAAGGCTCAATGGATCGAATTCACTGTATTTACAGTCAGGTACCGTATGCAGAACACGAGCGATGAACACGTTCACATTTTCGTCTGATTTCTGAGAGTTTGGAGAAGTAATATCTAGCCGTAAATACATTTTGACGAACACCGCAAATAATGCTGAATGTGTCCAGAGCGCTGGTTATGGTAGAACGGATTTCGTCCATACGGAAGGCGTCGAAATATCTTCGACTCTAATCACCAAGAAATTATCGTAAAAGCTTCACATTTTCTCTCCCCTTAAGAGATACTGCTGTATTCAAGATGCGAATCAGTTTCAAGTAGTGAAAAACGGTTTTCCACCATCGGTTCCAAGTATCAAAAAAGGTTTGTCAGTAGAACAGAACCAGAAGACGGGAAGAGCACTTGTTATTAACATGTTAACGTCATCGCCAAATGTCACGTTCAATTTTAATAGTATGTATGTCGGCCCTTAGCCAAGGTATAAAACAGCCTGCAAATGTCAATGCGACTTCTTACCTGATACAAGTTGCCGAGACTGATGATAGGTGTGTGTTTGCATGCGTGCTGCCTATGTGTAATGGAATAATCAGGGTAAGAGAAGCATAGTCAACGACCGTGTGATGAACACGTGACGGTAGTGCTCACCAATGAAATTTCCTTGTCTACTAGTTAAGGAATTCCGGTTCATCTCCAGGTAGTTAGAACACTTGTCACGAAGTAGCGGTGTATCGAAGCTGAGTTGTTGATATACTTGTGTCCACATATGTTGGTTCTTGCAGGAGACTACCGTACAGTACTTGCCGACAAAAGTCACTCACTGTGCAGAAGTAACGCAAACCTGTGAAAGCAATACTGGCTGGTGGCCCAGCGATGTAAGGACAACAGAACACATCGAGCTGGCAGTACGTAATGTGTATAATAGCAAGAAGGTGGACAGAGCATCGATCAAGTAACTGAGGCCAAGCCACTAGTGAGTGGGTAATCGATAGACACACACACGCGCACAGTCAATGCTGGGTGTGAACACGGACTGGGGATGGTGACCCATACGCGATATTCCTACTTCCTTTAGTTGGCAATCCTCCAGATAACCTGGTAACGATCAACTGGAAGGCGTATTCTAGTCGAGCGGCGCATCGATTAGGCTTCTGGTTGTCTTGTGTTCTGCGTGGCCGTGACTACTGGATTAAATGAAGGGCTCGGCAATGTGTCTCCTGGCACGATTGAAATAGAACGACGGCGAATATGACCCGTATGACGGGTAACCGCCATACCACAGACAGACTCAGCTAGACAGCCACCACACATCGGGAAAAGCGCTGGAAAGCCGGTTCGTCCAATTCGGACACTTCAGTAGCGCGCACCCACCAAATCCGGCAGGATTCGAACTCATTAACTAAATCCTAAGAGTCAGCGACTTATGTCATTAAGATGTAAGTAATGGTGGCGGACCGCCACAACTGATATGTTGCTGCGATATAGGACGGCACACAATCCACTGTATTGCATGCTAAGAACTTGCACGGGACAGGGCTGGCCTTCAGAGCTACAACTTCCTTTGCAACCCGCCACCAATCGAGATGGCGTGTAAGCTGCTAAGGCGATTACTGAGTATTTGCAGGCTAACTGGCTTCCTTGCAATTATAAACTATAGTGACGTAAATAATTCTGTGCAGACGGGTGGTATTTGCTATTAGTATTAACCATAACAGTTTGTTAATCTGTTTTGATGGTACTATCTCCCTTTCACAACCGTATTATGTTTATACTATTGCCCTAATTATTCACCGACGCTTATTTTATTTGGCCTATTTATGTAGTATTCGAAACAGCAATTCCTCCAATTGTCAACCTACGGGACGTGTTAAGCTTGTACTTCTATATTAATCATAAATTATAGTTCCATCTGCTAATAAATCTGAAAGGAAAATCTCTTGTGGTGTAAGAGGGCGCCAGCAGTGCAGCTCAAAAAGCTGGTTTACGTGACCGATAGTGGCTTCGGAAGCATCTGTGATACACAAGAAAAAGGCGTGTCTCGCACTATCCGAGAATAAAGAAGTTACTAATTTAGTTATCTGTATAGCTTGAAGACCAAACATTGCAAAACGACATTCCGCACTTTCTCATGGGCACAGTTGGGCAAAGGGTATCCTATCATGTGATTAGTTGAAAGGTGGAATTTTTGTTTATGCTGTATATTGCGCCAATAAACGAATGGGAATCAATGTTGTTACTATAATGTGCTGAATATGTCGTGACCAGCGGTTGCGACCGCAAATCGAACAACCTATTGGACACCAGATGACTTATGGAGAAGCGAAAATATTAGCATAACGTTTGCAAATGTAAGAAGAAACTGGATCACAAACAGAAACCAGAAGCCCACCGAACAAAGGGATGACAGGAGAGATTCCGTGAATCAGCAGTCTAAATATAATCAGCTTTTAATTCTGACACGCGTTTGTGAGCCATGTACAAAAAACCAATGCTGCTGATAGCGCTTACCAAAAATATCACATCGAACCAACGCTGATAGAAATGGAACTGCAAGTCCCCTAGCACCTGAGTGAGAATACTCCGGTATTCGGCAGTCATGTTCATACGCAGTAACAACACAGATGAAACAAAATAAGTACCCATGATCTGAGCAAGTATCAGCACAATCACATTGGAAGACTTGGTGCTAGCAATAGCGTGAAAGAACTTAGTCAAAGTGATCAACAAACCTCGGATGGAGGTGACCACAATGATTCCGACCAACCAGAATGAAATTTGTCTTGACCAAAACTTCACGTTGAACTCGTAACCGAGATAGTGGACAGCAATGCTGATCCCTTGTGTGATTGGATCTTGGCGTCCGATTCGATTGAATAATATGTTTACCGTAGAAATAATGATTTTCCAGCAACAATATACACAGAAAAAATGACCAAGTAGATTGTAATATTTCCCCCTTAGGGTGCAAGAGAACTCAATACGTTCTTGTGCGTTTCGAAGGTCATGCAGTTCCAGAAAGAGTTGCCGGCTGAGCTCTTCCAGATTAGAGGCCTAGTATAAAAACCGAAACGAAATGTAACGCGTATCATACAGAGCTAAGTAAGGAAGCATAAAAAAGTAGTAATAAAATGTGCGACACAAGGAGGAACAAGCCATAGTGACGCGCTAGCACAAAGCATTCAAGGTCGGTACTGCCTTAATTCTGTAGGGTTAATCGTAAAAGGTACATCGAGATGATAGCAACTAGGGGTGGAAAAGGCATGCAGAAGAGCTAGCCATGAATATACACTCGGTATGGTACCCAATAGATACACGAAAAAAGAACTATGGTTGCTGATCCGCAGAGTGAAATGACGAAACCAGTGGGTTGAAAACCAAGCAGCGCTACCGGCGTGAGCTGACCACATTTACACAGACCAGATGAATTGGGGCATCCTAAACAAGTCGCAACTCTGTTCTAGCCAGGATAGGAGTGATCCAAACAGCGGCCAATAAACTCAGGAGACAGAAGGAGAGCAAGTTAGACCATTGACAGTGCGCTAGAGTAAAATAGTGAGCAAAATTTGTTTACATTATGAACTAACCATTTGTTCATTCATAACAGATTTTCGGATGACTGCCCAGTCTTAAGTTTGATTATCGGAGGGATATCTCGACACAGGGAATGTGTGAAAAAGCACGGTCATCATCATTATACACGTCAGTTAGAGGTGGGAGACACCTCAGCTATTGTGCCGCAAAAGCACGGTAAACTACGTTATAAGGCAAGAATGGCTCTCAGTGTAAGCAAATCGTTTCTCGAACAGCGTAAATCAGAAAACTGTACGTCTGAGCGAAATCCGCCCCTACACAGATCAAAGTGATGCAGGCTAATTCAGACAAAATCGCAAAAATGTTTCTCGTATCAAGACATGAGTGGAGGTGCCGAAAGGCTAACAAGTTCTCAGATC